TCCCCCCTCCAAAAAAACAAAAAAACAACCAAAAACAACAACAAACAACAACAAAAGCAAACAAACAAAATAAAACAACAAAACGGAAAAAACAACAAAATTGGTGTATGCCCAGCCTCTTGCTGTCTTGACCAGGGCAGCGGTTCAGCTTACTGTCACATGTCCCTAATATGTGCGTCACCTCTCAACTACATTTTGTTCACAGTGCACTTTACAGAAGAGTGTTCTTTGCTTTGGACACAACAGTTCTGTCTGAGGCGACGAGTCCTGCTGCCGAGAATGCCAAAGCTATTCACAGAACGGACACTCAAAGCCTTCTACGTATAATATACTTTACTTTACTTTACTTTTATCCGGCGCTTATACCCTTTTGGGTGTCGCGGGAGAAAGAGGCGTCTCTCTGTCGCCAGCCGGAGAGCTTGGGTCAGGGGGATGCCGTGGGTGGTTAATGTTTCCCTGACTCCATTTATCCAGTATCCAGGTCTTTCTCGGTCGCCCTCTAGCCTTATTGCCATCGAATTTTTGGATGTAGGCTGGATGTTGTGTTTGTATAATATACAAATACATAATAGATCTATACATTATAAGCATGGAGTTACTGTTGGCTAGGACCAGAGTCTAAAACACTAGATCTAGATAAGGTCTTAATCTTGGTTTAAGACCGCTAAACTCATCTGAGCCTCCTCTGCCCTTGTACATTCTAAAAGTGCGCCTAGCACTAGTTAACCCTATCCGTACATCTTGTTTTACTATCGTATCCATACGATGTGGACAACTCTGTGCCAACACTGAACCCTATCCGCACGTCGTGTTTTACTACCGTATCCATACGACATGGGGAACTCTGTGCCACCACTTTCCAAAGCGGAAATTTACTCGTTAATCCGATCCGTACGTTTTGCATAGCAGTGTGTAAAAATGATTTTTTTTTTTTAGAAATACTGAAAGTTTCAAAGAGATCTTCGTAAAAGAAGTATTCTAAAATGGGAAGAATGCAACCACGGGGCTACAAAATGACCCCAGGGCATACGGATAGGGTTGAGTAAGTAGGCTAGCAAGGTTTAGCCTGGTCCGACATCATGAGATCAAACTCTCTTTTTTCACCGTTGGCTCTTTCAGCTACTCAAAACGAACAAAAGATCATCCTCATCCTCATCACCACCACCACCACCATCATCACCATCATCATCATCACCATCATCATCATCGTCATCATCATCATCGTCATCATCATCATCATCATCATCATCATCATCATCATCATCATCATCATCATCATTTAACTAGAAAAATTTGTGACTAGTATTTTATTTTGTGAAGAAACCAAGCCTTTAAAGAGTTCTCCAAATTTTTTCAGGAATCTTATGTAAAGTATTAATATATATGACTTGACTTCCAAGATTTCGAACAGGAAATGCTCCTAATAAAGGTAAAGGGACTTTGAGATACGACCGTGTTGTCTAAGAAAAACAGAAGAGTTTTCAAAGTACATGATGTATTCAGATATGTCTTCTTGTCCTGGGAAAGGAATAGAGTGCAGATCAATAAAAGCCAATGTTACGACTATACAGGGACTGGTCTACTTAACTTTTGTTTTTTATTAGCAAGGTTTTACTGTGCTCGCAACTGCATAAGGTCATATGAGCACCAAAGGATGGACGTCAACAGAGAAGTCCAAACGGGGAATCAGGCTTACTCTGCTCTGCTCTCTTTCCTCAACAGCACAAAGTAAGCTTCGACTATCAACGCACCCCGGAAATAGCAGTTCACAAGTAGAGGAAAATGACAATAGTAAGGAAGAAGAAAGAAAAAGCGGCAGTTCAACCTATGTTGTTCCAGCACAGTAAGAGCATGACATTGATAGATCAGCCCATTTACAATTCTACTGTGCATAAGAACATGTTAATACCCCACTCCCGATTTTTAAAAAAGAAATTGCCTACAGACACTTCAGTCAGTAGCACTGCCCTGGAGGGGGGCATTGTTCCGAGAGTTGTGGATACGTAGTGTATATTTCTCATATGTAGAACCTGAAATGAGACCTCTTTCAAATGGGAAAAACAATCAAATTGAGGCTAATAAGTTCAACAGTTTGCGAGAAAATCCGAATACAATTTTTTTTCTCGAAAGTACGTCATGTAATTTGAGGTGGTTTGGGGGGGGGGGGCAGCAGAATCTCCCTTACAGAGGGCTTGTCTTTGCTGCTTGATAAGATTTCATGAAGTTAGTAGTGATCTTGTAACCAGCCTTAGAGCAGGTGAGGTAGCTCTTCATTTCGAACATAAAGCCATGTGGTACCCCCTTAAACGGGACATGCTCACAATGGACGCCAGCCTTTTTCAGCTTCTCGGCAAACATTATCCCCGAGTCCCGCAAAGGGTCTAACTCTGCTGTGATTACAAGAGTCGAGGGAGATAACTCTAAGTTTGATCTAGTTCTAGCCAGAGGGTTTACTCTTGGATTTGTCTCAGCGTCCGGAATGAACGGAATGGAGAAACCAAATAGCCACTCCATATCCTTGCCAGAGAAAGCCGGGATGTCTCTAAACTCTTGCATCGACCCAACGGAGCAGTCCACTCCACCCACGGGATAAACTAAGATCTGAAAGTCGAAGCCTTGCATCTCGTTGGTCACACAAGACGCCAGCTGGCCTCCAGCACTATCACCTCCAATCCCCACTTTACTCTTAATGGTACCGCCCAAAAGCTCTTTATTTTCCAGCACCCATTTTGCAACAGTCACCGAGTCGTTGAAGGGTGCAAAGCGATCCTCTTCGTTAGGAAGAAGGCGGTAGTCGACGTTCAGAACAATAGCCCCGCTGGTTTCGGCAATATACTGCACCACATGCTCGTATGCCTTCCTGCATCCAATAGCCAGACCGCCTCCGTGCAGGTACAGATAAATCACAGGGTTGGGGGGAGCTGAAGTCGGCGTGAAGACCGACACAGGAATCCCATCAGAGACATGCTCGGACGGCACAATGTAGTCCTTTACAGAACCCTTGAAAGACCCAGGTGCAAGTGCGCTAATGAGGCCAAGCTGCACGATGCCCTGTCGACATTGCTCAAGGGTTCCTTTGTGGATATGTGGGCTTCCATGCTCAATGAATTTTCTGGACGTTGCTTCAGTTTCGGGGTCAATCTTGTATTTCAAGGCCACGTCGCCCCATACGCTCTGGGATGCCATGATTTCTCACTTTTTCTGTAAAGGAAATGTTGGGAATTATGTTTTTACTGGTACTTTTTCTATGAAGGATAGGCTGGGCGATTGTGTATTACTTTTTCTGTGAAGTGAATGTTGGGAATTTCGGGAACTACATCTTACCTTTCTGTGAATGAAGCGAAAAATGAATTTTTCGAAATGAGGTCGCGACATTTATGCTTTCTGCTGTCTTCTTCTCCGTCACTTAAAAAGATCTCTGGAAATTTATTCATACATTTATAGGGTCTAACCTTCATAAGCTTTCCTAGTTTTCCCTCCCTCTTCTTCTTAAGCGTTAGCAAGAATCTCTAAAAAGTAATGAAAATGAAATGTATCGTCCACAACCGTACAATCGGTGTACATGTATTTTCTCTCCAAAACACGTTATTTTTTCCTTCCACTTTCTGACAATACCAGACATGTGAAAACTCGGCTATCTGAGCCAGATCTACTCGGTAAGACCTGAAACGTGCATCTAAATAAATATTACGTTAACTCTTTCTGAGATGTGTAAGTAATAAAACCTGTGGCTACTCGTTTATACCACCCTTACCCCCCTCACCAGTGTGTATACGGTATTATATAAGCCTATAACATGTGAGCATATTGAAAATATGACACACACACACACACACACACACACACACACACACACACACACACACACACACACACACACACACACACACACACACACACACACATAAACATATACTATGAATGTGTGCCTGGGAGGGGAGGCTGTATCTGTGTGTGCGTGCGTTTGTGTTTGTGTGTATGTAGATCTATACCATGTTTGCGTGTGATTGTATGTGTAAACGCGCGCGCGCGCACGCGCATGTGTGTGTGTGCGTGTATGTGTGTGTGTGTGTGTGTGTGTGTGTATGTGTGTGTGTGAGTGTGTGTGTGTGAGAGAGAGAGAGAGAAAGAGAGAGAGAGAGTGTGAGAGAGAGAGAGAGAGAGAGAGAGAGAGAGAGAGAGAGAGAGAGAGAGAGAGAGAGTACATAAAACTATGTAACTACCTTAGTCACTTTCTCTAGGCTTTTATAAACTGCCCCTTAAATTGTTAACTGATCTAGTTGGTCTAACAGTATCCTATCCTTCTAATGTGTAAGGCAAACATAGCAAGGGGACACATGTGTTTGTAAGTGGCTTCCTTCAACATAAGCTTACCATGGTAGAAATGGGAAAGTAACAGGATGTGTTGCCGTCTGTGATTTTGACGTACATTAATTGTATGTCTACAGGTACTTTGTCTATTATGATACATAATTAAATATTTTAATGCATTGAATGGCGACACAAACCCCGGCTTTTCCTGTAGACCCTACATCCAAGCAAAATAGTTAACACCAGAACCTACGTGTAATCTACTCAAAATATCATTTAAAACGATATTATGCCTCGAGTGAAATGCATGGCCCTTCCCAATTTTTGCGTATAAGATCGCGTTAATGGTTTGTTTTTTTATCGTTATCAGTGAAAAGAAGATAGACAACATGTTTTGCAATCTTTGCAAACTAAAAATTTTGCAAATTTACACGACAGGTTGTGTATTAAATCTACTACGATACTGTTGCAGAATTCCTTACGTCGATAAAAGTCGTTGTCGATAATGATGTCCTTCTAAAAATATTTTTTAAAATTAAGCTTGATGTAATTTTGGAACAACTTACCCTGGGTTGAAGCAGACTTTGAACTGAAAGGAAAAGCCAAGTCACCAGCGTACTGTGGGCGTCGAGTACCTATAGGCCTAACTTACTTAGATCTAGGATCTGGATCGATAACAACAACTTAGATCTAGGATCTAATCCTAAGAAGCAGCAACAATGAAGGTTGTGTTGTCGTCTTAGCTTCAGCTTTCACATAACATTCCTATTCTAACAGCTGATGACTGATAAAATTTCTTTCGCGAGGTATGTTTTATAACGATAGTTTGCACGGTGTGATAACGCCTAACCTGAACCGGAGATGGCGACGACTGTGTAGCCCTGCTGTGTACACACACTGCCAACCTGTTTTTGTGCCATATGTAAGACCAAGGACACACACGGCTCTAGGTCTATTTTTATCAAAACGAAGCTGCCGCTTGACACTGGAGCCAAAGACAGACATTTGCTGGAGCGGCGTGGGCTACGAAATTAGGTCTACTTTACTTTTACTTTTTCATCCTCTGTTACCGTTAAGCGTCGACGGGAGATGCAGTTTTCTATGGTAGGCCAGCTCAGCAGCTCTTTCAGTGGTGATGTTATGTTTTCTTAGGGTTTCCTTGACACCCTCGATCCACCTTTTGCGTGGCCTTCCTCTTCCTTTGTGCATGGTGTTGTCAGTGGCGGTGGGTAGTGAAGGGCTCACGAGCTTGAGCCCCTACCCCCTTCCCGCCCACCATCCCCAACTCTATCCCAAAGTAATGAAAGTTTCTCCATAATGAAATAAGCAGTTGAAACCGTTATGACCGCACGCAATGAACACAGAGTGGTCAACTTGACGGCTTGCTCGCTTATCCAATCACTGTTGTCACGGCTTACAACTATAGAAACCCAGCAGCCAATCAAATGTCCTTAGGGCTCAGCGAAGATGAGCCCTTTTCCCACAGTCCTTCCTTAATGAAACTCTTCTTGTAAAAAGGTAGAAGACTTGGAAAAAATAACACTGTACCGAGTAAACACTTTCTTCTGGTCCCAAAGAGTTCACTTTAAGCGGACTCCACTGAATGTTCATTGCCTCCAACGTGTAGATTTGCACTTTTGTCTAAGTGGGAGATTTCACGCCTCTTTCGACACAATTAAGATCCTTTAGGAGCCGGACTTCCAACACTGCCCGCCAGGACCCACCCTGGATGAGAGGGATACATCCCAGCTGAAGAGCGGAGATACTTGTTAACAAATTCTCCCCACTCGGTAATCGAACACGGGTCTTCTGCATGCGTTGGTAAAGCGCCTAACCGTTATGCCACAGACACCAATAGATTTAATTCTGCGCTTACAACTCCCATTAACATGTAATAATGATAATAATAATAATAATAATAATAATAATAATAATAATAATAATAATAATAATAATAATAGATAGCATTTGTATAGCGCAAATCCCAGCTCAACAGCAAGCTATATGCGCTTCACAATCTATACTATAACCCCAGCAGACCTGAGAGCATTCTGAAACAAATTCAACTTCCTGGGAAGCATACAGTGCAAGCAGCCATTTAGGCGCTGAAACCATAGACCCATACTGACAATATCTTTCGCTGTCTATGGCAGATGAAGTGGGGAAAATTCGTGTAAAGTACCTTTCCCAAGGACACAACGTTGGGCCCGCGGCTCAAACCCGCGACCCTGCAACCTCACGATTACGAGTCTGGTAGCCTAACCACTTCGTTACCGACGCCACATGTACGTCCAATCCAAACCTACTGCCACTGCACTCTTCTCTCCCTGTAGGATATTTTTTCAGGGTTGGGGAGAACAAATACAGGAGGAAAGGAAGGACGGATGGACGGCAGAAATTAAGACTGGCCCAAGAGGCTTGTTTAAAGTGAGAAAGAGCTGCGCGCAGATGAGACTCGCTCTCTATCCCAGAGGTCTGAATTAAAGTAAGACGCAAGTCGAGACAAACAGACATGATACACCAAGGAGAACATAAGGGGGTTACCAAAGGCAGTCCAAAGAGTCAACCGTACTAATTATATCACCTAGAGGGCCCAAAAATACATACAGTTCAATCTAACTAAGATAGTCGACCCAGACCAAAGAATACAACCCCCCCCCCGCCCCCCCCCCAAAAAAAAGCAAACAAACAAAACAACAACAACAACACATTTCTCTGGGCTTCGGGCCTACAAAAATAGAATAGACAAAACATCGGACCCAATATGTCCATTGTGCAGCGAGGAGCCCCAAGATTTGGAGCACTGGCTGCAGAGATGCCCCGCCACGGAGGCCCGGCGGTGGCATCTCTTCGGGGGGGGGGGGGGGGGGATTCAGGGAGGTTGGACTGCCTCACCCGCTACCCAAGGGAGGCGGTGGCCCTGGCGAAGAGCACACTCTTCGGGGCTCCGAACATTTCGAACGGATAGGCTACCACACACACACACAACAACAACAACAAAACGGAAAAAACAACAACAAACCTGTGTATGCCCTGCATTCTGCTGTCTTGACCAGGGTAGCGGTTCAGCTTACTGTCACATTTCCCTAATATGTGCGTCCCCTCTCAACTACATTTTGTTGAAGGCTCAGTGCACTTTACAGAAGTGTTCTTTGCTTTGGACACAACAGTTCTGTCTGAGGCGACGAGTCCTGCTGCCGAGAATGTCAAAGCTGTTCACAGAAAGCACATTCAAAGACTTCTACGTATAATATACTTTACTTTACTTTACTTTTATCCGCCGCTTATACCCTTTTGGGTGTGGCGGGAAGAAAGAGACGTCTCTCTATCGCCAGCCGGAGAGCTTGGGCCAGGGGGATGCCGTGGGTGGTTACTGTTTCCCAGACTCCATCTAGATCTATCCAGGTCTTTCTCGATTGCCCTTGTTGCCGTCGAATTTTTGGATGTAGGCACGTTGTGCTGGATGGTGTGTTTAGATCATATACAAATACATAATAGATCTATATAGTATTATATGCATGGAGTTGCTGTTGGCTAGGACCAGCGTCTAAAACACTAGATCTAGATAAGGTCTTAATCTTGGTTTATGACCGCTGAACTCATCTGAGCCTCCTCTGTCCTTGCACATTCTAGAAGTGCGCCTAGCACTAGTTAACCATATCCGTACGTCGTGTTTTACTATCGTATTCATACAACTTGGGGAACTCTGTGCCACCACTTTCCAAAGCGGAAATTTACTCGTTAATCCGATCCGTACGCTTTGCATAGCAGTGTGTCAAAATGATTTTTTTGAGAAATACTGAAAGTCTCAAAGAGATCTTCGTACTAGAAGTATTCTAAAATGTGAAGAATACAACCACGGGGCTACAAAATGACCCCCAGGGCATACGGATAGTTGATAGGGTTAGGTAAGTAGGCTAGCAATGTTTACCCTGGTCCTACACCACGAGAACAAACTACAGCCCAGCAACCTCAACTCCCTCTCTTTTATCACCGTTGGCTCTTTCAGACACTCAAAACGAACAAAAGGTCAATAGTTAAATATAGGATAACCCCACACACGCACGTATACGTATACTCAAACAAAGGGTCATAAAATATTACTAAGAAAAGATAACTACGAGTAGGTTAGATATTCCAGTTTGGTCCAATTATCCAGTGAGTGTCCTTGCTTCTAATTGATCTCATCTCCCATGCTCCCTCTTTTAAATGCAGAACCATAGTTTCTTGGTCTGACTTCAGTACATGCAATTTGGATTAGAACAGATAACTACGAGTAGGTTAGATGTTCTAGTTTGGTCCAATTATAGGCGCTAAAACACTAACATCGTTGCAACTAAAAGACTGAAATAGAACTATGAATGAAGATGAAGAATATTATTTGCCAGTCTAAGTCATTTGGCGTTGCAGAAATATCGGTTTTAGAAGCATGATATGATCAGCTATTTCCATTTCGTCCTAGTTGTTCCAGCTTCGTCAATATTATACATGTAATAATAATGCGCGTTGCAATGCCGTCTCATGCCTCTGGATTCGGTGAAGAAATCCGGAATGGGTTTGGGGTTTGTTGATGTTGTTGTTGTTGTCGTTGTTGTTGTCGTTGTTGTTGTTGTTGTTGTTGTTGTTGTTGTTGTTGTTGTTGTTGTTGTTGTTGTTGTTGTTGTTGACGTTCTCGGTTTATAGATTCGTTTAGTCCATCTTATTTTTATTTTTACAAAATGAAAGAATTTGCAAATTTCAAAATCGCAACTTATTTAACTCTCTCGAGTTTTCTGTTTAAAAACAGAATAGTCTTCGCTTGTCAAATGAATGAATAGATAAATAATTAAATAAATAAATAAATTATACATAAAAACATGTACATTTAAGTAGTTTCAGAGAACAGTCCGATTTTTTCAACCCAACCTCACTATTGTCCTCAGTTGCTCTCCGCACAACCCCGAGTGGGTGACACTCGGATACCTCCTCATGCACTGAGACAGTGATCAATGAGACAGCAGTCTACGTGTCACTATAGACTATCATTTGTGCCACCGACTTCTAACATTGCGCTACCTCAGAATTACAACCCCCCGAGGCGGTGCTACTGGCAGTAGTGTCTTTATGCCATTCCCAAAGGGGGGACATTTCTCGTTCAAGCACAGTAGAATTGTAAATGGGCTGATTAATAATATCACGTTCATAACTGTGCCTAAACTGCAACAGGGAACTGCTGCTTTTTCTTTCCTAATACTTACTGTTGTAATTTTCCTCTACTTCTTTAGTATGTTTGTCACTCTTTTGTAAACTGCTATTTTTAGGGTGCCTTGATAGTAGAAGCAGACCTTGTGCTGTCGAAGCTAGAGAGGTGAGCAGAATAAGTCTGATTCCCTGTAAAGACTTCTCTGTTGACACCCACCCCTTGGCCCTCATATGACCTTATGCAGTTGCGAGCGCCGTAAAACCCTCTACTATAAAAAAAATTCAGAATTACAAAGTTCTATCTGACGTTTTTGGCCGTTTTGAGTTATTAGGACCATGAGGTTAGAAAGCAAATGTACTGTCTGTTAATTCGGAGTCGTTATCAAGATATTACACAGAATTACATTGTTCTATCTGAATACCAGCTGATCTTTTCAGAACTACAAAGTTCTATCTGCAACAAGAGGTTATAAATAAAACTAGAGGCCCCAGCTGTGACGTCACCCATGTACTGTGTGGTGATCGACTGCGCACGAACTAAAAAAACCCTCGGTACCCTATTACATTCTTTAATAATTCACGAAATTTTTACACCGCTGGGTCTTAATGATAATACATGTAATAAGAAAATAATAATAATAATAATAATAATAATAATAATAATAATAATAATAATAATAATAATAATAAATAACAATTATGATGATAATTTTAAAATAAACAATAATCGGCTATAATATGACGTTTGACATAACAGCCAATCCCGATTTAAAAACGTTAAGCTCTCAGCGCGAAAAAGAAACTAATGAGCACTTTACATATTAACATAGCCTACACAAGGAGCACACATAGATGTAATACGCCCCCCACC